AGCAAACTTCCACAGATACAAAAAAATATTAGTAACCACCTGTGTCTTGTCAGATCACCATGGATTAAAGTTAGAATTCAACAACAATGCTACCCCCAGGAAGCCAACAAACTCACGGAAGTTGAACTGTCAACTATTAAATCACCCCTGGGTCAAGGAAGAAATAAAGAAAGAAATTAAAGTCTTCCTTGAATTTAATGAAAATAAAGAGACAACATACTCAAACCTATGGGACACAATGAAAGCAGTGCTAAGAGGAAAGTTCACAGCACTAAGTGCCCAATTAAAGAAAACGGAGAAAGCACATATTGGAGACTTAACAGCACACTTGAAAGCTCTAGAAAAAAAAGAAGCTGATTCACCCAGGAGGAGTAGAAGACTGGAAATAATCAAACTGAGGGCTGAAATCAACAAAATAGAAACACAGAAAACAATTCAGAGAATCAATGAAACAAAAAGCTCGTTCTTGGAGAAAATCAACAAGATTGACAAACCCCTACCCAAACTAATCAAATGGCAGAGAGAGAACATGCAAATTAATAAGATCAGAAATGAAAAGGGGGACATAACCACAGACACAGAGGAAATTCAGAGAATCATTAGATCATACTACAAAAGCCTGTACGCCATAAAATTGGAAAATGTAAAAGAAATGGACATTTTTTTAGATAAGTACCATATACCAAAGTTGAACCAAGACCAGGTGAACAATCTAAATAGACCTGTCAGTCATGAAGAATTAGAAGCTGTTATCAAAAAACTCCCTACCAAAAAAAGCCCAGGACCAGATGGTTTCAATGCAGAATTCTACCAGAACTTCCAGGAAGAGCTAATACCTACACTCCTTAATGTATTTCACAGTATAGAAACAGAAGAGTCATTGCCAAACTCTTTCTATGAAGCTACAGTTACCCTAATACCAAAACCACACAAAGACACAACCAAGAAAGAGAATTACAGGCCAGTCTCACCCATGACCATCGACACAAAAATTCTCAACAAAATCCTGGCAAACCAAATCCAAGAACACATTAGAAAAATCATCCATTATGATCAAGTGGGCTTCATTCCAGAGATGCAGGGCTGGTTCAACATACGCATATAAATAAACTGAAAGAAAAAAACTACATGATCATTTCATTGGATGCTGAAAAATCATTTGACAAAATTCAACACCCCTTTATGATAAAGGTGTTGGAGAGATTGAGGATACAAGGAACATACCTAAATATAATAAAAGCAATATACAGCAAGCCGACAGCTAACATCAAACTGAATGGAGAGAAACTCAAAGCCATTCCACTAAAATTAGGAACACGACAAGGCTCTCCACTCTCTCCATACCTCTTCAATATAGTGCTTGAAGTTCTAGCAATAGCAATAAGACAAGATAAGGGGATCAAGGGGATTCGAATTGGAAAGGATGAAGTTAAACTTTCGTTATTTGCAGACAATATGATAGTATACATAAGCGACCCTAAAAACTCTACCAAAGAACTCCTACAGCTGATAAACACCTTTATTAATGTGGCAGGATACAAGATCAACTCAAAAAAATTGGTTGCCCTCCTATACACAAAGGATAAAGAAGCAGAGAGGGAAATCAGAGAAACATCACCGTTCACGATAGCCACAAATAGCACAAAATATCTTGGGGTAACTCTAACCAAGGAAGTGAAAGACATATTTGACAAGAACTTTAAGTCTTTGAAGAAAGAAATTGAGGAGGACACCAGAAAATGGAAAGACCTCCCCTGCTCTTGGATTGGGAGAATCAACATAGTAAAAATGGCAATTCTACCAAAAGCAATCTATAGATTCAATGCAATCCCCATCAAAATCCCATCAAACTTCTTCACAGACCTTGAGAGAACAATAATCAAGTTTATATGGCAAAACAAAAAACCCAGGATAGCCAAAACAATCTTATACAATAAAGGAACTTCTGGAGGCATTACCATCCCTGACTTCAAACTCTATTACAGAGCGACAGTATTGAAAACAGCTTGGTATTGGCATAACAACAGAGAAGTCGACCTATGGAATCAAATAGAAGACCCAGATATTAACCCACAAACCTATGAACACCTGATTTTTGACAAGGGAGCTAAAGGTATACAATGGAAGAAGGAAATCATCTTTAACAAATGGTGCTGGCATAAATGGATGTCAACCTGTAGAAGAATGAAAGTAGATCCATATCTATCACCATGCACAAAACTCAAGTCCAAATGGATTAAAGACATCAACATTAATCTGACCACTTTGAACCTGATAGAAGAGAAGGTGGGAAGTAGTCTACAAGATAAAGGCACAGGAGACCACTTCCTAAGTAGAACCCCAGTAGCATAGATAATAAGAGAATCAATGAATAAATGGGACCTCCTGAAACTGAGAAGCTTCTGTAAAGCAAAGGACACTGTCAGTAAGACAAAAAGACTACCTTCTGACTGGGAGAAGATCTTCACCAACCCCTCAACAGACAAAGGTCTGATCTCCAAAATATACAAAGAAGTCAAGAAACTAGATACTAAAACTCTAATTAACCCAATTAAAAAATGGGGTACTGAACTGAACAGAGAATTCACAACAGATGAACTT